CTGAAGAATGATCTCCCTATGCTGATTTTCTATGGAAAATATGGAAAATTCTTTGATCTAGTGGTTAGGAACTCTATTGCCTTATGTGGATCCTCAAACTGCCGAACAACTACTTTATTTGGAGACGCCGAATGTTTTTAAGTGATTTTATTATTACTTGTTTACCATATCCATGTCTAACCTCTAAATGATCCATGTGATCGAATAAAGTTTTTTAAATAACAATATTACTCCGCTTGGATTTTGAAGTAACCACTTTTGTTTAAGCAGTACTGCATCTGTCATACTGCTGTTTTTTGTTAGGTATATATTGAGTTTATAAATCCACACTAAGTATGAGTGAGACGGAGATATTAATATGACATATTTATAGGTGTCATATTAGGTGGCTCTTTTTCGTTTGGTTGTTTAGATTCGGATTAGAACCCATGACCCAAGTGCTGTAAGTCCTGAGTACTAACCACTAAGCCACTGTAGCAGATAGCGTTTGAGCTGGAATGTGGAATAGTTACATGATTAAAGAGGATGAAGATATATCATTATATTGGAACATAAAAACACTAACGGTACAAAGCCTGTGCTTGTGCGCCACCTAGCGACGATATCCAGCATTGCTCCTAGAAATGTGTCTAACTGGACTGTGTATTTACTAAGGGAATTGTGCCTAGAAAGTAGACTCTTTTCCAATCAGCTTGCTAGACTCTTTTCTGAAGACTGACAGGTCTTAATTGATTGAATTGAGTCTGCCTGAATGTTCAGCGTCTGCTGTTAGACTCGATTCTTAGTAAATCAGGACCTATGTTTCACTTATGTTTGTTATTTTATATTTTGAATAATTTGCACAGCATAATGTCACAAATGTTTCACTTTTGTGTGTGTGTGTGTATATATATGTATGTATGTATGTATGTGTGTGTGTGTATATCTATCCTACGGTGTGCGGCTGACCCTTCTTCCTATTGCATTGTGTGTGGTGGCGAGCCAGAGCCTGCACCTGTTGTGGATTGATCTGGATTGTTTGCCTGAGTGGTATACCTTTGTTCTTTGGATTCGCTTGACCCCTATCTATGCCTCGTTGTTTTCTGCAAATTATTATCCATTGCTTCGCTCTGTGTCCTCTCTTATTGTCAGGGCTCCCAGGTATGACCAGAGGTGTGTGACTGAAGCAGGGAAACGCAGACTTCAGATATGTGATTAACAATGTAATTTATTAACACTAACAATACAAACATAAACGCAGTGCAATACTAAACATAATACAGTGCAAACAAACCAAACCAACCACCCACAGATAACAGTACATACAAGCAAGCGTCGTCAGGCAGGCCGAGTCAATATCAATTGGGCAGGTAGGTACAGGGGGGAGCAAGCGGAGAATGGTCGGGGTCACAGGCCAGGTTCAGCAGGTAGCAAGCAGCGTAGTACAGAGGGTCAGGCAGAGGGATGGTCAGGGTCACAAGCCAGGGATCAGAACAGGTAGCAAAGGAACAGAAACAGGATGCAGGACAGATACAGGGCCCAGGACAAACACAACACCAAGGCAGAGTCTGCAAGTCTGGCCATCCCTTAAATACACCAGTATCATCAGTTCCAGGTGTTAGCTGGCTGAAAGGTTGAGTCTCTGATTGCTGGGAGCACCCGCTGGCCAGCCCTGGTACTGCAGATCAAAAGGCAGGTGAGTCCCACCATTGCTGGCCAGTCCATTCCTGACACTTATGCACTCCTGGCAATTTCCGCACCTGTCTTGGATAGGACGGGTTAATTCAGTGAAAATTACCATCTTGCCGAAATTGTTATACTATTTTCCTACCCTCCCAGTGCGGGTTCCTCCTCATTTCCTTCAGTTGATTCTGGCAAAGTTTCTTCGTTTTATCTGGGCCGATAAGCGCCCCAGAGTCTCCAGAAATATGCTTTTGTTTCATAGACTCCAGGGTTGTCTTGGGGTGCCTAATGTAACAAAGTATTATCAGGCGAGCCAGATTGCCCCGCTGTCTATGTTGCACGCTTCCTCAGACGTTCCTCTCTGGGTCCTGCTAGAACTACCTAATTGTGCCCCTATTGCGACATCAACACTTCCATGGCTTCCCCCTGCCCTACGCTATATGGCACTGAGTCCGCTTTTGCTCCATGGCTTACAAAGTGTGGGACTCGGTACGTTATTCCAGTGGCCTCATATCACCTTTCCTACCTTTGCTCCCCATTATTAACAACCTTCTCTTCCCACCGGGTTTAGATCAACCAAGGGCGTTTTTTTTTTTGGTGGGTGGCCAATAGTTTTCCGCAGGTGCAACACTCGACTTCTCGGTCCTTCCCCACGTGGAATTCTCTTTGGGAGTCACGGGATGTCCCTCCGGCAGAATTTTTTTGTTACCTTCAATTGCGGCATTGGCTGACCTCACTGCGGGGCACTTCCGCTTTCCCATACCAGAAGTCTGCCTTTGAACTGCTTTGCCAACAGTGTCCGGTCACCCTAGGCCTTATTTCCCTTCTTTATGCAGCTTTGAACAGACACTCGACATATACTTTCTCTCTCATATGTCGCTCAGTGGGAACGCGACCTGGGGGCAGTCGTGGATCTGGAGGACTGGAATGGGGCCTGGTTGCTTTTAGCTAAATGTTCATTTAATATGACCACGCTGGAGGCGGCATACAAAGTATTGTTTCGTTAGTATTGGGTTCCGGCTAATTTGGCCCAGGTGAACCCTGCCTGCAGTGATCGATGCTTTTGGGGTTGTGGCCATCGTGGTGATGTATTGCATATGTGGTGGCCATGCCTGAGACTGTTTCATTTTTGGTCTCTTGCATTTGACCCCCTTTTCACCTTGTTCCATCTCTCCATATGCCGTGATGCTCGGTATGCTTTGTTTCACTGTCCCATACCAGGCCTCTTGGCTCACCAGCAGAAGCTGGCTTCCTATTTGTTTTTGTCAGTCACTAGAACAATTGCTCAGGCCTGGAAGAGTCCGTTTGTCCCTCTTCAGAGGGTGTGGGACCGTATGACCACTATGATGCTCAATAAACAGATGTCGAGTATCTGTAATGACTCCCAACGGAAATTCTTGAAAATATGGGAGCCGTGGTTGCATTATGCCTTTCCCATGCTCCCCCCGGCTAGTCTGGGGTTGTGATGTTGCTCAGTATTGGCGTTCTTGTACCCCTGCTCTTGATCTTGTTATCTTTTTCCTTTTGTACTCCTCTTTCCTTTTCTTTTTCTGATTGTTTTTGATGTGGCAGTGGATAGCTGCCTTTAGTTTGAGTTACTGTCAGTGTTCTACTAATGTTTTTGTCATTTTTGTGCCATTGATTTGTGCCACCTTTTGCTCTGTTGGTGTTAGAGCACTGTTTTTTTTTTGGGGGGGGGGTTTATGTGCAATTGATAGCGCCTGCATGGGCGTGTTTTGTTGCTCCTGTCTTAAACTGTTTATAAATTAATAAAAACATTGAAATACAAAAAAAAATTATACTTTTTGCTTGGGTGGTTTTGCTTACAGGTTATAGTGAAACCTTTGCAGGCAGCACAGTGGCTAAATGGTTAGCACTTCCACCTGGCAGTACTAGGGTCGTTGGTTCGAATCCCAGCCCCGACACCACCTGCCTGGAGTTTGCATGTTCTCCCTGTGCCTGCATGGGTTTTCTCTGGGTACTCCAGTTTCCTTCCACAAGACAAGGTTAATTGGATCCTGTCAAAATTGGCCCTAGTATGTGTGTCTATGAATATAAGTTAGGGACCTTAGATTGTATGCCCCTGAGGGTTAGGGACTGATGTGAATGTACAATATATTTGTAAAGCACTGTGTAAATTGACAGTGCTATACAAGTACCTGAAAATAAATAAATACAAATAAATAAACCTTTACTAAGAGAATTATGGGGGTTGCCATTGTTGGTCACATTTTTAAACACTACTTGACTGCTTGACTCAGGCCTTTGCACTTTCTTTGACACTGACCCATAGTAATCATTCAGATAAGAAAAGTCTGAATGAAATTATAATACTTAATTCATGCTCTTCATTGTCAAAGACAGAAAAAGTGTTCATGTGGATCAGTGTGGAGGCCAAAGAAACTACGACGTAGTAGTATTATAAGATTTTGGTTAGGACTGTATCGTTACAAACTACAGTTGCAAGAAAAAGTATGTGAACCCCTTTGGATTACGTGGAGTTTTGCATGAATTGGGCATAAAATGTGCTCTGAACGTCATCTAAGTCACAACAATAGAAGAACACAGTCTGCTGAACATAATACTACACAAACATTAGATGTTGCCATGGTTTAATTGCGCATAACATGTAAACATTCACAGTGCAGGGAGGAAAAAGTATGTGAACCTTTGGACTTAATAACTGATTGACCCTCCTTTGGCAGCAAAAACCTCAACCAAACATTTCCTGTAGTTGCAGATCAGACCTGCACAATGATCTGGAGTAATTTTGGACCACTCCTCTTCACAAAACTGTTTCAGTGTAGCAATATTCTTGGGATGTCTGGTGTGAATCACTCTCTTAAGGTCATGCCACAGCATTTCAATCGGGTTGAGGTCAGGACTCTGACTGGGCCACTCCAGAAGGCGTATTCTGTGCTTTTGCAGCCATTGTTTTGTTGAATTACTTGTATGCTTTGGGTCATTGTCCTGTTGCATCACCCATCCTCTGCGGAGCTTCAGTTGGCGGACAGATGGTCGTACGTTTTCCTGCAAAATGTCTTGATAAACTCTGGAATTCATTTTCCCATCAATGACAACAATCCGTCCAGGAGAAAAAGGAGAGAAGCGCCTCTAAGTGCAATAAGTCTTTTAATTCAAGTCTAAATGTAGAAACACTCACATGTGTGAAGTAATCATGAGCTTAAAAACCGTGGTTAACAATAGTTAACGGTGGGGTGGTAACCCGGGTGAAGAGCCGCCATCTTACTGCGATGTGGGGAGGTAAGCTCTCGGCTGGAACAGCGTGGTGGCTGGAGGGGAACAGCGGTGAGGCCAGCCTGCATGCACGTCCTCCCTCAGAGCTGGATGGAACGCACACTGAAACGTAGCGGCGGCGTGGCCGTGATGATGTCAGATCCCAGGGTGCACTGCGACGCGTTTCGGAGCATGCACTGGCCGTGGAAGGCGGAAGTGCACTCCTTTTTCAAGCAGGGGGAGGTGGATGAACAGGGGTGAATATATAGGGAACGTGAGTCTAATTGATCAATTAACCAATTAACCAGTGATTGACCATTGCTGTCAGGTGAATAGTGTAAAGTCATGGATGTTAAATGGGGGGGTAAAGGAAACCAAATGGGAAAAAAGAGAGGATGTAATAAATAAGAAGACGGAAGACGAAAGAAAAATGACAAAATGAAAAAAATGATTGAAAAAAAAAAAAATTATTAATGAAATGAAAAATGACATCAATAAACGATTTTTGAACAGCTGAAAATCGAAGAAGCTATGTGAAAAAAGTTGATGGGGGTAATAAGAATACAAAAGGAAACAAAGAAAAAAAAATATATTCTGGGAGATTAGTGGGGTAAAATGTTCACCTTGCAGCACTGGCACATCAATTATGTAACAGTAGTGAGCAGATATTTAGTGGTAATACAGCATGATTGCAAGGTGGGATATGGTTATGGCTCTACAGGAGCTTCATAATAATTATAACATAATTATTGCACCCTGGGATCTGACGTCATCACGGCCACGCCGCCGCTACGTTCCAGCGTGCGTTCCATCCGGCTCTGAGGGAGGACGCGCATGCAGGCTGGCCTCACCGCTGTTCCCCTCCAGCCACCACGCTGTTCCAGCCGAGAGCTGACCTCCCCACATTGCAGTAAGATGACGGCTCTTCACCCGGGTTACCACCCCACCGTTAACTATTGTTAACCACGGTTTTTAAGCTCATGATTACTTCACACATGTGAGTGTTTCTACATTTAGACTTGAATTAAAAGACTTATTGCACTTAGAGGCGCTTCTCTCCTTTTTCTCATCTACAGAAGTTGCTACAGCTTATTTGGAAGCCTTGCCCTCAGTGCCACACGGAATCCTACGCTCTTCATACAGTAGCCACTAATACCACGATCACCCCATACTACCATTTCCCAGGGCTTTGCAGTGTTTGCGCTGTTACAACCCTTCCTCATTTTTTCTGAACAATCCGTCCAGGCCCTGAGGCAGCAAAGCAGCCCCAAACAATGATGCTCCCTCCGCCATGTTTTACAGTGGGGATGAGGTTTTGATGTTGGTGTGCTGTGCCTTTTTTTCTCCACACATAGTGTGTGTTCTTCCCAAACAACTCAATCTTGGTTTCATCTGTCCACAGTATATTTTGCCAGTAGTGCTGTGGAACATCCAGGTGCTCTTTTGCAAACTTCAAACGTGCTGCAATATTCTTTTTGGACAGCAATGGCTTCCTCCGTGGTGTCCTCCCATGTACTCCATTCTTGTTTAATGTTTTCCTTATTGTAGATGTCAACAAAAATGTTAGCATGTGCCAGAGATTTCTGTAGGTCTTTAGCTGACACTCTGGGATTCTTCTTTACCTCATGCAGCATTCTGCACTGTGCTCTTGCAGTCATTTTTACAGGACGACCACGCCTAGGGAGAGTAGCAACAGTGCTAAACTCTCTCCATTTGTAGACAGTCTGTCTTACCGTGGACACATGAACATCAAGAATTTTGGAGATACCCTTTCCAGCTTCATGCAAGTCAACAATTCTTGATCGTAGGTCTTCTGAGAGCTCTTTTTTCTTGCCAGGCATGGTTCACATCAGAAAGTGCCTCTTGAAACCAGTAAACCCAAAACAGGTGTGTGTTTTTTTAAGGGAAGGACGGCTGTCAGCAGCACATCCAATATCATCACACTGATTGGAGTCAAGGTTGGCTCACTCCTGGCTCCAATTAGCTCTGGGAGAAATCATTAAGCTAGGGCCTCACATACTTTTTTCCTCCCTGCACTGTGAATGTTTACATGTTATGTGCAATTAAACCATGGCAACATCTAATGTTTGTGTAGTATTATGTTCAGCAGACTGTGTTCTTCTATTGTTGTGACTTAGATGACGTTCAGAGCACATTTTATGCCCAATTCATGCAAAAAACTCCACGTAATCCCAAGGGGTTCACATACTTTTTCTTGCAACTGTATGTTCAGGTTTCATTAAAAAAAAAAATTAGTATTGCATGCAAAATCTCATGCTACTTGTATTTTTTTTCAGCTTTACAGAAAGAAAAATACACTGAAGAGAATGATCTGCCACCTGTGTCTGATGCATCCCTTCACCATGTTAGTTTTTCTGGGCAACATGTTCTGCACTCCAAAAGGCCTTGTGCTGATCAGAAATATAACCATGAGAATATAATGTGCTCATTGCAATGCCCTTCTCAAACTGCATACTCTACACTGATGAACCAGAGAGTTCCAGACCTTTCACAAGGTAGGAACATTAATGAGAAAACAAAATTCCTGTCTTCGACTTTACAACAGTTGTATAATTTATCAGCATCTGCTACTAGGTCTTCCTATGCATCTATGCAGTCTAATGGACAATCAAGTCTTCCTCTTAAATTTAACTCCTGCCCAGGAGTATGATCCCTTGCGTTTTCAGCAAGAAATAGCTGTATGTCGGCAGCTCGGCCTTAGTCATCAATCCATGGCAATTACAGAGTTCTGTGCCTCCACCACAATCTCTTCATCCTCATTCCCTTCCATTACAGAACCATTGGTCCATGTAGTGCAATCACCACAGCTTCAGCAGATCAGTTACCACTGTCCAAATACTGGGCAAAATACCATCACTTCAACAAATCAGTTCACCGGCCATCTACCACGTCAGCTTACATCTGTTTCTCACCATCTTACAAAACCTGACCCTACCTCTTCCAGAACTGGTTCTTCTTTACCTTCATTAACACACTCGCCAATGTCTAATTCATCCTCTCCTCAGCTGCAGGAAATGCCCCTCAAACCCACCACTTCAGGTGTAGCTGCTTCACCACCATCACTCAACCCCATGGCACATTCTGGACAACTACCTGCTCAAACACATAGAGTTGGACCGAGTAGACTTTCCTACTCTGCCATTCTTGGCCACCAAGAAATTCAGGACTCCTCTTCATTCCATCCTGATGATTCATTTTCAGAGGAGCCTGAGGATGGTGAATTGAGTTTCCAGACAATTGGCTTGCAGGACATCACACTGGATGATGGTAAGAAAATGTACAATACCTAAATTGCAATTATGTTAACATAAATTGTGGAAGAAATGTCTTTCCTGAAAGGTCACTGTCCATTTGGGGAGGGGTTGGTGGGATGGGCACACTGCACGCATATGAAGTCAGAACTGGTTAAATGTTTTTACCTATTTTTAATTTTTAGATTGTGAGACAAATGTTATAGGTAATACATATATCTGCATGTGCAAATGCCAAATGACAGCAAGTTTTATTGTTGCATGGAAATATTTTCAGCTGTGCATAGTAAGTTGATCATCAATTTGCGTAATGACATGGCTAACGGGGCTATTGAGGAGGTGGAGTATTTGTGACTGAAGCTTCAAAGGGACTTTTGCATTTTTTTGTAAATTTTGTAAATTGCTTGTTATGGGCCCTCTAACTTTGAGGAGGAGGAGACCCATCTGCTTTCACAGTAAGGAATGCCAGGGAGGCAGGGCAATTTTTTTTTTATTCATGAGGGTCTTTTGGATTCTGATTGGGCAGGTGGAACTGCGCACTCAACTAAGGGTCATCATTTCTTGAATGTAATGCAGGCCATTTTCATGAGTCAGATGGTAGAAGCCCCAAATAGAAATAATGGCCTGCTGGACCTACTACTTACAAACAATGCAGAGCTGATTGCAGATGTGGTAGTAAGGGGCAATTTAGGGAACAGTGATCACAGGGAAATTACGTTTGCCAAAAATGATAGGAAAAGGAGCCATGAGGGTAGGGCAAGAATGCTTAAGTTCAAAAGATTCACTTTTAAAGTGTTACTAAACCCATGACCCTGCATTCACTATATCTGGTCTCCCACAGTACACAGAACATGGAAATGCAATTATTTTAGTAAATATAAACTGCTAAATACCTTTTCTCATCAGCAATGTATAGCAGTCTTGTGACTTCTACCAGTGTCTAGCTGAGCAGTGTTTAAAGCTTGTAGGATGAGTTGTCTGGACAGCACTGATTGGCCCTGTGCTGATCACATGCAGATGGATTGTGGACAGTGGAAGAAGGGGAGGATCAGAAGACAGAATCAAACAGCCTTTTTACACAATGCGGAGGGTTAACATCTTAGGTTCCACAGTGAGTATAGCAAGCATGCTTTACTGCATATACAGACTGATTTTACTGTTGGGTTTAGTAACATTTTAATAAACTGGTCTCCATACTAAGTGGGATCAAATTCTTACAACAAAGAACACTGAAAGGAAAGTGGGAATGCTTTAAAAGAGAAGTGTGTGTTTTTTTTCTTTAAATTATACTTACCTAGGTGAATGCAGCTTAACTAGAAAACACGTGTTTTTAATAAATAAGGCTGAAGGTTTACCGTCAGCATTTCAAAACTACAAAGAATGCATGAGCATGATCAGAGCAGCTCAAATAGATTGCTAGCGACACATTGCTGAGGAGAGTAAAAGATACATACCTGGAAATTACTACAAACCAGTCCGCTTAAAGGCATAGTTCACTTTTTCATCAGAAATTCACTTTTCATAATATAGAAGCCTTTTCTAATGTCGTGTAATTTCTGCCCCAGTCATCCCAAAGTGCTCATCTCTCACTTACCTCATCTATACCAGATTTGATTTTCCATCTGCCTATTTCAGTTTTAAAAAATGCTTTCTGCTTCCATCACTTCCTGTAGATCATCTCCCATCTTGCACTGCAGCAAGATTGCTGCATCAAAGTATAGGAGTGTAGTTTCAAGCTGGACCACACCTCCCTCATTACTATGCCACGTCTTGTTTTATTTCCACCCACTTTCGGTACAGTATGCTTGTGCAATCTTGGGGGTTTTTTTATGTGTTTTTTTTTTGGGGGGGGGGGGGGCGCGTTTCGGAGCATTTTCATGGGTCATGCATAGGGCAGCCTATTTATTTGAATGGGCTGCTGTATGCTTGACAATCGCCCCAAAGAAGCTCCAGAACTTCTTTTGGAGTGGAGCAGGGTGTGTTTTTACCTCACTTTTTGGTGCATTTGCAGCGCATTTGTCACTTGGCAGACGCGCATCTGCTACCTGCACTTGGGGTGATATTAACATTAAACGGCAATGCAAGTGCGAAAACGTAACTCAAAGTGTGCATTTTGTTTTCTCTTTAATATTTTTTATTGAAAAATATTTAAAAACTTCCAAGTATAGGGCGAAGGAAGGAAATCCCCCAACAATATACACTACAGAAACAGATGACATTATTATTATTATTATACAGTATTTATAAAGCACCAATAGTTCGCTCAGCGCTGTACATTACAGAGGGGGACAGAACATGTGACAGAACAATACCAATACAATGCAAAACATGAGGGGATTGAGGGCCCTGCTCTTTCGAGTTTACAATCTAGGAGATT